ATATATATATATATATATAGATAGATTAAGGATTTAAATGAGCCATTGCATTAATGCCCAATAATATTTTAGAGTAGAAACAACGTGGCCCAGTACGGTCATATCTGTGGAGGCCAAAACACAAGCCTTTGAGGAACAGTGATTCCAGTGGAGTGGATGCTACAGTATGTCTGCCTGTGTCACTGCACTAACAATGAAAAGTCTGAACCACAAGTCGCCGAAATGTATCTAGACCACTTGAGAGCTTTTCTCCTGTTTTTAGTGACACAGTGGAGGTTAAACCCTTTTAAATTCCCTTTATCTGTGAGTGATGGTGTTTACCTTCATCCTCAGGGCTGCATAAATCTCCACCGTGGTGGAACCTACAGGAGAACACTAACATTTTACCAACTTAGAGCTGAGGACAGCGCTGAGCCGTGAGAGAAGAGAGCGTCTGGGTCTGGAAGCAGCCTCATTAACAGTAAATATTATGTTTGCCGCGCGGAGAGTCATCAGATGCGGGCCAACGGCCAAATCTCCTGAGAGTCGATCTTCTTTCCTCCAGTTAAACTGTTGCTGCGTGAATCATAAGCCCTTTATCTTTTTAATTCATAGATGAATCACCCGTCGTGTTGAGTTTGAACTGTGCGGTCGTGTCAAATTAAGGAATCCATCGCAGCCAAATGACGAGGGACCGCAGGAAGAGCTGTTGTTTCCCTCTGAGCTGTTACTTAGGTAACTGGGGCAGGGGTAAAAAAAGGAACACATTAACTTTTATGTCACTGGAATACCTGAGGCGTCGTGTTTTAAGTGGTTTATTTTGTCACACTGTCATGAATAATAAGAGGAAACCCCTAAAGAAAATTTTGTTTAGAGAATAACTTGTCAAATTTTTATAATTGAAGGTTGCATTACCGTTAATGGTGGGTGGTGACCTAAAAGTCAATTGCAGGAATGTGTGTTAAAATTAGTGTTTTTGTTCTGTAGTCAATTGCAGGAATGTGTGTTAAAATGAGTGTTTTTGTTCTGTTTTTGCAGAGAAACATTTCCTTCAGCAGGGATTTATCTGAGACTTGCTATTTTAGGACTGCATCAGTAACTATCAATGTAGGCAGCAACATACGTCATTTACAATTTTTGCTTAGTCTATAACATGGGTTCTAAAGTCACGGCCCATGGGCCACTTCTGGTCCACAAATTCCCCAAATCCACCCTGCAACAAGATGTCAATGATGATTTAATTTTGCACTTGTGGATTCTTTGGAAATTTACCTTTAAATATTTGGACCAAATAGTTTGTAGACAGTGTCTTTTTAGTTTTATTAATTATTAACTGATGTTGCCCCCTAGTGAACAGTGACAGTAGCAACGTGAGTTTGAGGCCCCTGGTCTCCAGCATGGATGTTGAACTTACTCCACTAACTCCACTAAACTTTATTGTAAAACCCACAGAATGTTCAGTTTCAAGACCGTGACGACATGTTGTTTTTCCAAGCATTTTCTGTTTTCAAAGACAGATCTAAGGTTCATAAAAAAGCAAAGATTTGACTTTTCTGTCTACACCTGCTTCATTCAAGCATCCTATTCATACAAGATAAATTGAATCTCTAGACTAATTATACCACCCTAGACAGACTCAGCCTGTATCAACAGCCTGCAACTGAGATCGATTATTCAAAAACCATTTATGAAAAAGGCTAAAAGAGAACATCATTAATAGCAGGGGTTCTTAACCCTAACCCTGAGAGACACTGCTATAGACAGCCTCAGCCTGCAACAACAGCCTCCATTGGAGACGGTGATATCCAACGCTTTACAAACAATCTGTGGAAAGGATTGGAGGGCAGCATTCAAAGTAGAACCAACGTTTTTTTATTAAATAGGTGGGCTCTTTATCTACTGCTTTCGTCCATCTTTCTTCTCAGTCTACAGAATATTCAGTCACGTCAGTGCCAGAGAATGTTAGTTTCCCCAGACCTGCTACCCTTTAGTCCAGATTCAGTCAAGGTAGGGTTTACCCAAGATTTTTTTTTTTTGTTTGTTTCCCATGATGTACATTGAAACTGTTTGGGACACTTGATTAAACAGATCAGAGTAATGCAGTTGGTAAAAACATGTATCTAGGTTAATAGCTGATGCTTTTCACATTTACCTTCGTGATCTGATTCTGGACCCGGTTCTCCTCCCCCCTCTTATCGTACTAAAAGTGACATAACGTCATTTTTGTTGGCTGTGAGTGATCTTTTCGTCTCCATTTGCTTTATTTTTGTTCATGAAAAAAAAAAAAGGTAACCTCCAGCCACAAGAACAAAAATGATTATTCATATTCCAAATGTCGTCAGTAAGAGCTTCGTGAGAAACTTTTATATATATATATATTTTTTTAAATTTTTTTTTTAGATGTGAGTGTGTGCGCTTTGTGTGTGTGCAAGAGAGCGGGAGATTGACCTGAGCACAACTCTTATCTCAGATTGATCAGTTAGACAATAAACCCATCCAGGGCGACTATTGACGATAATTACACTGCTTTTAAATCTCTTCCTTTCTCACCCTTTCTTCTTTCTTCTTTCCCTCAACTTTTTTCTCTCCCTCTTTGCTTCCCTCTCTCTCTCTCTCTCTCTCTCTCTCTGTCTCTCTTGTCCTCTTTCTACTTACTTCTGACAGTTGGACAGGTCTGTAAGATGCCAGAGCATTTCACACAATGATACCCATTTACGCCGAGCACTGCTCATAATGACTTCAAATTGTCTGTAATGGCTCATAATAGGCACTTCTACCCCCACTCACTCACTCCTGCAGTCAGTTCTGATGTGCTCCATATTCTTATTTTCTCTAAAGCCTCTCTGTGCATAGGAACACACCCTAACTGTGGCTGCATGTGTGCTGCTGTATTCAGATAAAACTGTATACGCTGCATGTGTCTCAGCCCACACGAATCACTTATGTTCAGTCACAGCGGATTCGATTTTAGACGTATAGATCCGATCAATTTTGCTTAGCTTGTGAACGGTGTGTTGTGTTTGACTGCATATATATATACATATATACACATATATATGTATATATATACATATATATGTATGTATATATACGTATATATATGTATTTATGTATATATACGTATATATATGTACTTATACATATATGTACTTGGAAATGTACAAATAAAACCGTCTCTGCTTCTTCATTTTTAAATGACAATGAGTATATGTCACAACTCACTCTTCAACAGGGTCTGTGCGTCAGGAACCTCTGTGCGTCACCCTCAAACTTACTCACAGTATAGAGTTCCCACAAGTACATTGCAGTTCTATCCCCCATGGTGACACATAACATGATTCACACCCAAAGGTTAATGATGACATCATAATTTAAGAGATTTTGAGTCCGACTTGTGCTAAGGAGCCATAACGACGGACAAAAACATCCCCCAAAAAACAACACAAATAAAAGAAAGCGAATGTAGCACAATCCAATGTATAGGCATACAAAAGGTCAACATAACAACGCTGTCTTATGTGTATAGCACCGCAAGGCAACATATATCCTGGGTCCATTTGTCGAGTTTTAACATCATATATATTCTAATCGTATTAGAATGACCACAGTTTATTAATAAATATATGGTAACTGGCGTTGTAGCCACGAAAAGCAGCAGGACGAAGATGTCGTAACCCAAGAACCCCATGTATAACTTGTCGTTCTAATATTAAAATATTAAATGGAAATACTATCCAACACTGTATATCCAATAATTACACCATCCATTCACTCATGGTTGCTTGAATACACAGCTTATTATTTGCACACACCGCAGGAGCTTAAAATACCATCTTGACTCCCAGCATGAGTTTCTGTAGGCTTCAACTTCAGGTCAGATGCCCGGCTTGAGTCAGACTAGCCTGACTGAACGCAGGGGCAGACAGAAAATCTACCACTGACAAGCTGACTGACAGTATTGTCAAATGGATTGTGAGGAGGGGTTTTTTTTTTTTTTTTTTTTTTTTTTTTTTGAGGCTTCACCGAACCTTCTACAAGCCACTCTCAGGATAAACAGTAATGACTAAAATCCACCAACTCTGTGAAGCTACATTTTGAATTTTACGTTTATATAATTTTCTTAACATCTTTTCATAATAATAATAGTTTCAATTTGGGATTACTCACAAATGAACCTGCTGTTATTTGTCCTCCTCTTCCAGCGATGTAAACATTCAGTGCCTTGAGTGTTTATATAATATAACTGCGGTTAATTTAGTGCTGTGCTAAATGATCTGCTGCGCTGAGCTTCAGGTTTGTACATGATAACGGTGCAGCTGCGGTGTAGGAGTAAACTAAATGGAGGAACCTCCCGCAGGTAGGAGTGGTAGTATTTAGGAGTTACCCTGAACGGGAGGAGGATTTATTGAAATGAGCCCATCCAATTCCAACCAGCTTTCTGAATTCACAGAGTGGATGCAGTCAGAGTGGCTTGATTTGTCATTTCCAGACCTCGGCAGGTTATAAAAAATTTAAAGTCAAGTCGATATTGTATCATTTGTCCACTTTAAACCAGAAATCATTTTACAAATTTGGCCTCATATAACAGTGAAAAGCTTAAACCTTGTTATTGGATAGGGACCAGGGGGCGCCGATTTATGTTTATGCCAGTGGGCGCTCGCTGTATGGGTGTTCGGCAGTCTCCGTGGATGCTCGGTAATCTCCGTGGGCTCTGCGACCCCAGGGCACCCCGGAATCGGTGCCTACGATAGGGACTATAACCTCAGGAAAAAAACTCCAACTATTGTTTTTGGTCACACTAGTTATTTTTTTTTTCTAACAACAAATATTAATATCTTGTTCTTCTTTACCCTTGGGGGAAAAATGTTTGTGTATGGATCATCAGGCAAATGGACCTGCACGGATACAGTTAGACTGTAACAACCTGTCACTTATAATCACGACCTCCATCTGACTCACTCACTGCAGCACTGGCTCATCCGTCTGTGACACCGCTTTATTTAATTGCAAATGTTTAACTGTGTTAACACGTCTCCGCTGGGAGACATTCAATAGCTTATTTAAAATATGTGACATCACACCTGCTGTCTTTCACCTCTCTTTATTTTATTCATCACTTCTTTCACCTTCCTTAGTCGATGAAGCGGCCATTAAAATGTGACTTTATGGGCAACGTAGCAGCTTGTTGACGATGGATTGTCGTGGTTCGTTTATGATCCGTGACATGGTTGCTCATGAGGTGTAATGCCTCTGTAGCGTAAATGATGTTGCAGTAAAATACACCGTGACTGTGATAACGAGGCGGTTGATGTGGTCTCACACTCTTGCTGACAGCAGAAAATGTTTGGTGTAAGTTTGTGATTAGACCTGTTAATATAGCTATGTCATCGACATATTGTAGGAAACCTAAAACTATCAACTCACCTTTGGAAAATGTCTGCTTTGAGAAACTCCAGGTTGGCAGTGAAAGATGTTTATTGCACCCTTTTCCAAGAGAGAAAGTTCTAGTGACAGCTCTTAATAAAATACATCACGGAAAAGTGATTTCTGCTGCCAGTGATTTTTTTTT